AGCAACTTAGCATGATCGTGAATCAAAAAAAAAAATTCAAATTAAAACAGGCTGGGTATGTAGCTCAGTGGTAGAGTACTTCTGGGCTCAATCCCCAGTACTGCAAAAAAAAAAAAAAAAAAAAAAAAGAAGAAGAAGAAGAAAATCACTTGCCTATATATTTTTAGACTCTTTTCTGTTCCACTGATCTGTGTGTCTATCTTCACTTATACCATATTATTTTGATTACAGTAGCTTCATAAAAAAGGTTTTCAGTATATAAATTCTGTATATGTTTTGATAGGCTTATACCAAAATATTTTTGAGGCTTTGTAAGTGGTATTGCCTTTTTAAATATCAGGATATTGCCATACATTAGTATTATGCAGAAATAAAATTGGCTTTTGTATATTGTTCTTTTATCCTGTGACCTTAGGAGTTCTTTGGGGACTCTTTGAAATTTTCTCTGTAGACAATCATGTTACTTATGAATAAGAACAGATTCCTAATCTTTCAATTTTTATTTTCTTTATTAATTTTTCTAGCTCTGTTGCAATGGTTGGGACTTCCAGCACAAATTTAGATTGAAGTTAAAAAGAATATATTACTTTTTTTTCAACTAGGGGGAAAAGCATTTATTATTTTACCATTAAGTATAAGGTTACTTATGGTTTTCATATATGCCTTTCATCAGATTAAGGAAGTTCCTTACTATTCCTACTTTCCTGAGCATTTTTTTTTTATTATGAATAGATAATGAATTTTGGCATATTCTTTTTTCAGCATCATTTAAAAATGATCATTTTATTTTTTTTATACTACTACTACAGTTGATTATGTGCATGTTCAGATATTGCACCAGATATACCCTTGGGAATAAATCCCATTGCTTGTGGTGTATTTTATACACACACACCTGCACACATGCACAAACATTGTATATAATATTTATTAAGGAGTTTTGCATCTTCCTCTTCCTTCTTATTTTTTATAATATTTCTGTTTGACTTTGATATTACTGTAATAATAATGACTTCATAAAATGAGTCAGTAAAGATTACCTCCTGTTCTACTTTCTGGGGGAAATTTTGAGGAATTTGTGTTCTATCCAAATGTTTGGCAGCAACCACCACTAACATTATAACCAAGGAGGACTTGGGGGTAAGGATTTAAATTACAAATTCAAGTTCCTTATTTTTTTGATTTATTTTATCTTTTTTGTTATACATGACAGTAGAATATATTTTGATATATCATACATACATTAAGTATAAATTCCCCTATTTGTGTTTTACATAATGTGGAGTTACACTGGTCATGTATTCAAATATGAACATAGAAAAGTTATGTCCAATTCATTCTACTTTCTTTCCTATTATCCTTTCTCCATTGTTTTATTTCCCTTTGTCTAATTCAATGAACTTCTATTCTTTCCTCTCCACCTGCTTATTATGAGTTAGTATCTGTATATCAGGAAGAATATTTGACCTTTGGTTTTTTGTAACTGGCTTATTTCACTTAGCATGATTGTCTCAGTTCCATTCATTTACCAGCAAATGCCATGATTTCATTCTTTCTTAAAGGCTGTGTAATATTGCATTCTGTACATGTACCACATTTTCTTTAGCCATTCATCTTTTGAAGGACATCTAGGTTGGTTCCATAGCTTAGCTATTGTGAATTGAGCTGCTATAGACAATGACGTGGCTGTCTCACTGCTGTATTCTGGTTTTCAGTCCTTTGGGTATGCCAAGGAGTAGAATAACTGAATCAAATAAATGGTGGTTCCTTTCCAAGTTGTCTGAGGAATTTCTGTACTGCTTTCCAGAGTGGTTGCACCAATTTGTAGTCCTACCTGAAATGTGTGAGTGTAACCTTTTCCCCACATCTTTGTCAAAATTTATTATTACTTGTATTCTTGAAATTACCATTCTGACTGGAGTGAGATGAAATCTCAGAGTAGTTTTAAGTTGCATTTCTGTAATTGCTAGAAATGCTGAACTTTTTTCATATATTTGTTGACTATTTGTATTTCTTCTTCTGTGAAGTGTCTGTTCAGTTTCTTTGCCCATTTATTGATTGGGTTATTTGCTATTTGGTATTAAGTTTTTAATTTTTTTTTTTAATATCCTGGAAACCAGTGCTCTCTCTGAGGTGCAGGTGGCAAAGATTTTTTTTCCTGTTCTGTTTGCTCTCTCTTCAAGTTCTTAATTGTTTCCTTTGCTGTGGAGAGGCTTTTTAGTTTGATACCATTCCATTTATTAATTCTTGGTTTTACTTTTTGAACTTTAGGAGTCTTTTTGAGGAATTCAGTTCCTAAGCCAGCGTGGTAGAGATTTGGTCCTACTTTTTCTTCTTGTAGGTGCAAGGTCTCTGGCCTAATGCCTGGGTCCTTGATCCACTTTGAGTTGAATTTCGTGCAGTGTTGGAGATGGGGACTTATTTCATTTTGCTACATATGGATTTCCAGTTTTCACAGCACCATTTGTTCAAGAGGCTATCTTTCCTCCACTGTATGTTTATGGCACCTTTGTCTAGTATGAGGTAACTCTCTTTATGCAGGGTTATCTCTGTGTCTTCCATTCTGTACCATGGTCTTCATGTCTGTTTTGGAGCCAATACCATGCCATTTTTGTTATTATAGTTCTGTAGTATAATTTTTTTCTATTTTTTTTTTTAAAGAGAGAGTGAGAGAGGGAGAGAGAGAAAGAGAGAGAGAGAATTTTAATATTTATTTTTTAGTTATTGGCGGACACAACATTTTTGTTTGTGTGTGGTGCTGAGAATCGAACCTGGGCCGCACGCATGCCAGGCGAGCGAGCTACCGCTTGAGCCACATCCCCAGCCCCTCTGTAGTATAATTTAAGGTCTGGTATTATGATACCTCTTGCTTCACTTTTCTTGCTAAAGATTGCTTTGACTATCCTGGGCCTTTTATGTTTTCAAGTTTCCTAAAAGATTGAAACTCTTCAGAGCATCTGTTTCTTCTTGGTTGAATTTCAATAATTTGTATCTGTAAAGGTATTTGGTTCATTTCATTGAATAAGTAATATTTATCACCATAGAATTTTTCTGGTTTTCTCTAACTATCCTTACTTATAATTCCTGTCATCCTATGGTGATAAATCCCATTTCATCCTTAATATTACAGTTCAAGATTCTTGTTCTTTGACAATCTTACTACAGTTTTATCAATTTAATTTTTATGTTAAAAATGTGTTTTTACTTTATTTCTACAGTAATAAATTATCACAGTCTCTGATTTAAAATGATATGCATTAATTATCTTGAACTTTTATTCTAGAAGGCCAATGCCAGTCTCACTGGACTAACCCGTAGGTGTCAACAGGTCTATATTCACTTCTTCAGGCTATAGTAGAGTCTTTGTTTTGGTCTTTTCTACTTTCAGATGATTTTCTGTATTCCTTGGCTCCTGGCTCCCAGTACCAACTATCAGAGCCAACAATGATGAGTCAAACTCTCATATCTCAAAACTCTGAGCTCTATTGCTTTCATATTCCAGTTTTGAAGACCTTTGTGATTACTATGTGTGCCTATGGATAATTCCAGATAATGTCCCCATTTTGAATACTAAACTTAAACACATCTTGTCGATAAAGCCCCTCTTGTCACAAAAGTTAATGTATTTGCTCACATTGAGGCCACAGGTTCTATTTCTTACCATTTTGTCTAACTCCATTTTTAAAGTTTTGCTTGTGTGTCCAGTGTGTGTGCCTTCAGCCTGAAAGGTGGCCTATCAGTTGAATTATGCTGATTAGAATAAAATATACAGTAATATGGTTTGGAATAAAGACTTTTAGTTTACAATCAATTTGATGGGGTCATTGTCCCTAGTGTTTCTCTTACCCCTTTCCTATTTCTGAAGGTCTCCAACATAGTTCTTCAGTCAGAAAACTGAAGCTTTGACCTGGGTCTGCTAAAGGCTTGTAGAATTGGGGCAAAGTTGCAGAGGGACACAGAAAAATAAAATCAACAAAGGTTCACCTCAACCTTTGGAGAATCAGAGACCCACCAATCATTAATGGATTTTAGGCTGCTTTGAGAGAGACTCAAGTAAAAAAAATACATGAAAGGATATCAATGAAATATGAGTAAGATATTAAGAATGGCAATGATATGTAAATATTAAATTTCTTAGTGCTACTCTTGTTGAAAGTAAAAATAGAGAAAAAATTCAAATATCCTACAAAAGCAAAAATGAGATACTAGTTTTCATCATCAATATGGCAAAAATGTAAAGATTTATTATTCAACATGAAGTAGAAGATATTCTTTTTCACTGTTAAGAAAATTATTACCTTATTGTGTGAATTGTTGAAAACTTTATGAGAGCAATCTTGTAGGCTATCAATTTCCATTCTTAATAATCCAACTTATTTTTTAACTTTTTTTTTTAAAGAGCGAGAGGAAGAGGGAAGAGAGAGAATTTTTTTAATATTTATTTTTCAGTTTTCGGTGGACACAACATCTTTATTTTATTTTTATGTGGTGCTAAGGATGGAACCCAGCGTCCTGCACATGCCAGGCGAGCACATTTACCGCTTGAGTCACATCCCCAGCCCCCCAACTTATTTTAATAATATTATTTTAATAATAACCCAAAATATTTTCCCACATGAGCAAGGGCATATATACAAAGATAACTACAGTGCTTATAATACTAAAAAAGGGAAGTAAAACATCATCAGAAAAGGACAAAAGTAACTTGATTCATCTGTATTATGGGTTCTTATGACCACTGAAAAAAGAGTAAAATACAAGTATTGGCACTGATATGGAACTATTTCTCAGATGTAAATGATGAATGCAAAGAAAGTTTATCATAGAATAAAATATATAGTGCATAAATATGGAGGACTGTTTTATTTTTAACAGGACACTCCAAAACAATAAAATTAAAAGGAGATGTGATAGATGGTTAAGTATAGTTATCTATAAGATGGAATGGATGTTTTAGAAATCTGTGACATTTGACTTACATTTTGGTAATTAGAAATATAAAAGTACTGGGCTCACATTAGCCGCACATATTGGAGCAATCCAGAGATTAACATGGTCCCTGCACCAGAATGACAAGCAAATTTGTGAAGCATTCCACATTTTTACCCCAAAACTTTCTTCTTAGAAAAAAAAAGTATAAAAGCACAGAGATATTTTATAAATAATAAAAACCTTAAATTTAGTGTTTAGACTTTTAATTTTAAATAGTAGTAGCATATAAGAATTTATTGAAAGATGAATACAAGTGATTTTTATAGACATGGGCAGATCATATGCTAATAGAGTGTACTCTTTTGAAATAGTAATTTGTTTACAGAAAGATTGGCGACATGGTAATGTGAAATGAAGAAGTTGATTTTCAGGTCTCCCTTATCCCTACTCTATACTCAAGAGGTTGGATTTCTCTTTTGCCAATGGAGGGAGCAATCTTTTGGTTTTCAGAGACTTCCATAAAAAATTTCTTATTTAGAAATGAGGTTGGGTTAGGAAAAATTATGTTGGTGAAGTAGAGACAAACTTATCAATGTAACAGAAGACAGAGCACAGAAACACATTCACATCAATGTTATGAGCTGATCTTTGACAAAGGAGCAAATTCAGGACAAATAAAAGATAGGTCGACTTTTTAACCAATGGAGCTGGAACAATTGCACATCCAAATTAAAAAGAATGAATCTAAATACAAATCTTACAGCCTTACCTTATAGGCTTTACATAACTAACTCAGAAGGATTCATAGACTTAAATGCAAACCACAAAATTATGAAATTCTTAGAACGTAACATAAAAGAAAATCTAGATGTCTTGAATTTGGAAGTAACTTTTTTATATATAACACTAAATTCATGATTCATGAAAGGAAGAATTGATCAGCTAGCTGTACTATCTGTGATGGACTTTTTAAATATTCAAATATTAAAACCTTTTGCTCTGTGAGACATTGCCCAGAGGATCAAAGGACAAGATACACACTGAAGACCGTATTGTTTATTCAATATTGCTATAAATCCTAAACTGTCTAAACAGTAAGTATAATACTAATATAATACCAGGTATATAACACAATAAACAAAGAAGTAATACACTCATGTAATAGGATATTGGTTTCAATGTTATTATCCTATAAGCATAAAATACCATTTAAAACTTTTAAAAATTTTTATATTTATTATTCCTAGGTACACATGATATTAGAGTATATTTTGATATATTTATACAAACAAGGAGTACATCCTATTCTAATTATGAACCCAATCTTGTGATTGTACATGATGTGGAGATTCACTGGTGGTGTATTCATATGTTGACATAAAGAAAGTTAAGCCAGATTTATTCCATGGTCTTTTCAATTCCTGTCCCCCTCCCTTCACTTCATTCCACTTTGTCTAATCTACTGAACTTCTATTATACTCCCATCCTTGTTATGTGTTAACATCCACATATCAGAGAGAACACTCAACCTTTAGTTTTTTGGAATGAGCTTATTTGGCTTAGGATGATCGTCCCCAGATCATTCATTTACTGGCAAAAGTCATAAGATCATTATTTTTTTATGGCTGAGTAATATTCCATTGTGTATATAAACCACATTTTCTTTATCCATTCATCTCTTGAAGGGTACCTAGTGGGTTTCATAGGTTGACTGTTGTGAACTGAGTTACTGTAAACATTGATGTGGCTATTGCATTGACTATGTTGATTTTAAGTCCTTTGAGTATATATTAAGGAGTAGGATAACTGAGTCAAATGGTGGTTCCATTCCAAGTTTTCTGGTTGCACCAGTTTGCAGTTCCACCACCAATGTTGAGTGTACCCTTTTCTCCACRTCCTCACTAAAATTTATTGTTATGTAGACCTTTATAATGATGAATTATTTGGACATACAGTCAGACATTTTGAACTATCCTGAGGAACATGTTTGCAGATAAGGTGGTTGATTAAACCATTAAGTGTTTGACCCTGTCAATGTTTAAAAAACATTGTTTTTTAATGTTTAAAAAAAAAACAGGAAAATGAGAAATTATACCCCATCTGATTCAAATGTATGACATGTCAAGATCATTGTACTGTCATGTGCATCAAATTAAAACAAATTTTAAAAAAGAATATAAAAAAAACAAACAGGAGTTACCATTTATGTGGTAAAAAGATTGACACTATTTGCATTAGCCACAGAAAAATATTTGTTTTGARTTTTGAGTAGTTTTTTATAAAAACAGAAATACAAGAAATCAGTCTTTTCTTATAGTTTTAAGTGTTTAAAATTATATCTGTTTTATTTTCATTAATTGTCCCTATGTTTTACACACAATCAATGACTGTTTTATATAAGACAACATACTACTACATGTTAGAGTACGCATATGTGTGTGCATGTATGTGGTATTACCTAATCTTTTCAAAAGCTCTACGTGTTGTCTATTATTTTTAACTTCCACTTATATTGGAGGAAACTGAAATGCAGACAGAACAAATGACCAATCCACAACTGTATTGTCGATAAATGTAAAAATTGGAAAAACAGTTTTATTTTTGTTTTACATTACSTTCAGAAAAGCTAGAATTGTGTTAGTCATGGTGGCACAAGCCTGTAATCCCAGTGGTTCCAGTGGCTGAAGCAGGAGGATCACAAGTTCAAAACCAGCCTCAGCAATTTAGCAATAACCTGAGCAACTTAAAAAAARGCTGACATGTTGCTCAGGGGTTAAGTGCCCCTGGTTTCAAGCTAGACTTGTGGGTTAGAAAGTAAGTTGTGGCTGAAGTAATTGTGCTAATCAAAAATCTTTACAAATCTACTTCAAAAAATTTTATTTAGAAAAGAGGGAATGATTAATTTTCAGCCAAGTAACTAGATAGTAAGGAAATAAGATAACATTTCAAATATTGTTACAATAGGGTCTGAAGTCTGGCACATTTTTCTTCCATTGCTCTTTCTTAAGAAGTGATATAGGGGCTGGGGATGTGGCTCAAGCGGTAGCTTGCTTGCCTGGCATGCGTGCGGCCCGGGTTCGATCCTCAGCACCACATACAAACAAAGATGTTGTGTCCGCCGAAAACTAAAAAAAAACAAATATTAAAATTCTTTCTCTCCTCTCTCTCTCTCTAAAAAAAATAAGTACATTGTGTTTTTTTTTTTAAAAGAAGTGATATAGCAGATCAAGATATTTCTTTTAAGTGTAAATATTCTAAGGAATAGCCTCTCCACTGTTACAAAATGCAATTGTTTGCTCTATTCTCTGATGTTCCCTTATATCATCTTTATCTACTCATTCAATGTGAAATGGGTACCTACCACTTTATTTCTGAAAAAGCTAAAATGGGAGACTTAGTGTTTTGCCATATAGTGGTCTCTTAATATTAATAGAATATARGTGAGGTCTAAAACCTGACTATATTATACAAGGGACACAGAACAAGAAGCTGTTGTGATATAGATTATATTCACTTTCAAGTTACAGTTTGTGTATACAAGTTGTATTTTTTTTTTTTTTAGTTTTAGGTGGGGACAATATTTTTATTTTACATTTATATGGTGCTGAGGATCGAGCCCAGTGCCTCGTGCATGCTAGGCAAGCACTCTACCACTGAGCCACAATACCAGCCCTATACAAGTTGTATTTATATTAGCACCCCAAGCAAAATGTATATCTTGGAAAAATACCAGAAACCTTATAGCATGTGCATTAAGTATAGCTGTAAAATTTAAAATAACAAAATGAACTCAAATTTTATGAATTTCTAAAACCGTCTCATGCTTTTAAGATGTTTGACCATTATATGAGTTATGTGGGATTCTTTACTGCTTTCTTTCTTCTCTAAACTGTAGAATGGAACTTGGGAGTGATAGAAAGTTTTAAATTTTGATGGTCAGCAGCATTTTAATGGCCAGTAAAAGAAAAACATATTGCAACAATTAGCTATAAAAAAAAAGTGAACTTAAAAGAAGATCCAGAGTTTTCAGTATTTTAGTGTTATTTGTTAACTTAGTATGCCCTTTTTCATAGAGATGGGAATCAAAAGAAATGTATTTTTTTGGTACAAAAATAGCAGATTAATACTCTTTAGTATATGTTATTATTTTAAAAGCTATGTTACTAGACTCCAAGTCATTAAATGGTTTTCCTTAGATGATGGTGTCSTCTAGAATCTAGCTTTTCTGGATGAATGCCCTTTTGTAATGTAGTAGTTATGCTTTTGCTGATGTTTATAATTTATATGAGCCCCCAAATCACAGCCTTTCCTGGAACTGAAAAAGCTTTCCAATGACATTTATTTGAAATCTTTTAATTAACATTATATATTAAGCTAAAACTATCAATATAAAAATCTCTCTAATTTCAATTGTCTTAAGTGACAAAAATCACACCGAAAAACAAAATGCCAATTTGTTTCGTATAATTTGTACCTTTACATAGTGTCTGTAGTTGAAGGCCAAGCACAGGTCTCTGGTATTCAGAAGGCTAGTTCATTCACATGTCTTCACTCTTCCTTCTTCAGTGGCTAGCATTTACACCCAGTGTAAGTTTCCAGTCAGCACTATGAAAGATTAATAATAATAATAATTGCAGTTTTCATGGAATTTTCTCATAAATTGTGGATATAGCTATTCCATTTCAGTACACTCTCACCTTCTTTAAACTCCTCTAACCCATTTCTATCATCTTTATCTTATTAGTCATTTTAATCCACATGTTGTTTAGAATTTTAAAATTTATTTTTACAAAATAATTTCCTTAGCAGCACCTAGTTTAGGTACTGAGGTTTTTCCTGTACCACACTGGGTGGTATTATTTATCCATTACATTCTAAGGACAAAAAATTYTAATTCTCAAAGGTAAAAAAAAATTAATAAATAAAAAGTAAACTAATAAATCTTCCATAAAAAGAGACAAATACAAATTTATTCTCATCCAAGCTCATCTTTCTATTGTTGTTTCTGCCAAATCTGAGAAATATGAAAGCAGTGGAAAAGATAGATGAAGAAAATATCATCTTCTTTTCCAGGTGTCTCAATTTAGATGGCAGCAATTGAATCTAAATCTCTTTCTGTTATAAYTTTTGCTTTACAAAAGAACTTCAGATAACAAAATCTAGCTTGACTTA